AAGCGCGTGCACCAAATGTGAAATAAAGAAATTAGAGTGTGGGAGTGGGGGGTGTAGTTTTTTTTTAGAGTGTAGACAATTAAAATGTTTACCAATCGAAATGATAGAGAAAAACTAAACCGTAAATATTGTCGCAATATCAATAACAGCGGCAACCGGGGAGGATATTGAGGAGTGCGAGCGCGTCAGCTGGACAAAAACAGAAGATCGCCGTGTACAACAATTTAATGCAATTAGTGCGACGATGCGACAGACGGAACAGAGTGCCATCTAAGTATATATTCCATATAAAGCTGCCCATACAGATAGGACAGAGAGCGACAGAGAGAGAGAGACTGACCAGATAGTGTATACAGTTGGGGGTAATTACATAATTACATGGCGTACGATATGCAACGCGTGTCGAGGGTCGGCGCGTTGTGGGTGCAACAGCAACATGCCACATGCCTGTCACAGGCATTTGCAACACAATTGTCTGTGTGTGTGTGTGTGTGTGTGTGTGCGTGCGTGTGTATTGGCAGAACTCGACTGTTGCCAATCTCACTTGGCTGATTAATGATATTAGGTAATCCCATTAGCCGGACCTTGGCCCCATGCAAAAATCAACGCTGTCAAATGCAATCAACCGCAATAATCGCGCGAAAATGAAAATGGGAAAATCGCAACAGCGAAAAAATAAGACTATTGAAAACAAAAAAGCAAAAAAAACAAAACATTAGCAGCTAATGCATTAGAGCCTTAACCACCACCAATCGCGCAGCGCAACGCCCCAAGCTAATCACGGCAGTTTTTCCCAGCCCAATGCCCTACATATGCCAGCCATATCCCAGCCATATCCCATATAAGACCATATTGTAGACCCTATATGACGCTGACGATGTGTTAATTTCATTTGATTGACATGTGTCCATGCGGCTGTTCTTCTGTTTTAAGATCGAAAACCAAAAAATAGAGAAGAAAAATAACCTTACATAGGGAAATCAATTTTTTTGAGGCACGGGTCCCACGTGACGACTGTCATGTTCGAATCTCGACACATCAACATGTTGCCATGTTGCCCCCTATCCAGGCACACGATCTACACCCATCTCACCTTAGCGCATCTCATCTGGTTCTGTACCGTTTGACGCTTGTTATTGTTGCGACAGTTTTTCAATTGTTTTTCCTTTTCTGTCGTGTCGCAAGTTGGGATGACACCAAAAACATCCATGTCCAACTGTCATATACATATAATATGATATAATGCCCGAGCATGTCCGAAACCGGAACGAAACTGTCTAAACTGTCTAGGTCAATGTCTAAATTAACAACTTTTTAGCGCTTCGCATACATTGAGTAAAAAAAAAAAAGGAAAACAAAACCGGAAAGTTAAGATCTTGCTTCCGTGTCGGAGTGAATTCCAAATACATTAAATTCCATTTGAAAATTTATTAAGGTTTTTTTATGTTATTTTTGTAAATCTCAAACTCAAGGTATTAGACTCAGATCATTGAAAGACAACGATTCTATATCTAGCAAGTTCTCCAAATGTTCAAAAGGTTTTTGAGGGAACAGCCAAATCTAAAATAAGTTTAAAGACTCGAATTTAGAAAGGTTTAAAGGTCCGCACCGATAAAAACTTTGAAGTGTTAGATAACACATAAGCCCAACTTGTTGGTAATTAAAATCGGACGTAACCCTAGCTTGAACTTCAATTTTGTTGGCCTTCTAAAGGGTATTCCAATTTGATCATCTTAGGAGAGATCTTCGAACCCGTAAGGAACTAAGTATATTCGTGATCAATAACATCAGCCGAGTCGATCTAAGCATTTTTATTAAAAAAACCTTTTCTAATTTTCAATATAATTTGATCAATCTTTAAAGATATACCATGCCATGAAAAGTACATCAAATTGTCCGTTTGAGCCAACAAAATAAATAATTAAATAAATAATAATTAGAATAAATAATTAATCTGCAAATTACTGAAATTTAGTTTTTGAAACAATGATAATATTAAATGAGATAAATAGATATGGATAAGTTAAAAAGAATAATTCCCCTTGTTTAGTTAAATTAAATAAGTTCAGGCATGGATGTTGATAAGTTTTTATAGAGCTTGCAGCTGATTGCCTGATGCTAATAATGTCGGATTGATGAGTACTGATACAAAGTTGACATAGCTAATAAAATAATAATAAAAGGGTCGTCAGATTACCTATTTCCAATGAAGTATTACTTAAAAGCTTCTCCCTTGCTTTAGGGAAGCAATGATGAAAGTTAAATAAGTTTAAGTATGGATGTTGATAAGTTTTTACCAAGTGCTACACATAAAAAGCTAATGAAATATTTCTGCAGTCTTGCATTTGGCAAAGGGCCCTCAGATATATCAGCCAAAAAGTGAACAAATGCAGGCTCTCAAGAATGTACCCTATGAAGTGTGGCCCCCTTTTGAATTTTCAATCCGTCAGTTGGCTCATGAAATTTGTAATTTAAGATGTTGCAATTCATGAGGACGTAAGCAGATTCGTAAATTGTGAAATTAACCCGATTCGATATGCGCGAAAATTGTGCAATGAAGCCAAAAAAAAATACATTTTGCATGGCTCAATCATCGATTTCGATTCGGGTTCGACTCTTGCCCCGCTCTCCCTCTCGCTCTCTCTGTGTGTGTGTGTGTCTCTCCTTACCCCCTTCTTCGAGAAAGTTGTGACAGGAGGAAAGGTAGCGAAATGCGTTGCATTTTAATCGCTAGTCCTAGCCAAAAGAAAGAGCAAAAAAAAAAAAAGGCTGCTGCTCCTTTTGCAGCCTTTCGCCGTCGCGTCATAAGTGTGTGAAAAATTGATAGACTTGTCATTGCCGGCCGAGTCCAGTGGGGTGGGTTAGACGACAGTCCCGTCAGCCAGTCACTCGTCCTCATCGTCCTCATCGTCCTCATCGTCGTCGTCCTCCTGTCCGCCTCTTTGTATGCCGACGCACATAAAATTGCATAAATGTCAGACGACTGTCATGACAACCTCTTGTAAACGCCCCATAATTTTTATTATTAATGGCATCAACGCACTATTATCGAACACCCAGCAGCCCATCAATATTTTCAACTGACTAACTCAGGTTTTTCTTTTTCATTTTCCTTTAATGTTGAAAGGGTATTGCAATTATCTCGGCTAACTGCTCTACTCTGGCGTTTTATCACCTTTTAGAGCGCACATTTCTGCTGAAGCTTACGCAAGGTCTTACTTCTTGCTTCGCTTCTCTTTTACCTTTTTTTTTTTTTTTCATTTTATCAGTTGTTCAACTAATATTAATTGTAAAACTACTTGCCTAGTTCTGCTGTGTAAGCACATAATCAACTAAAACTTATCTTCGCTTCTCTCTTTCGCTCTCTCTCTCTCTCTCTCTCTCTCTCTCTCTGTTACTTGTTTCTGATGAGATCGTCCAGACTGATTGATTGACTAATTTATTCTTTGACCAACTGATTAAATGGATGACCGACTGACTGAATAATTAACCGACAGAATGATTGACTAACTAAATGACTGATTGACAGACTAACTGACTAGAAGATTGATTGGATTTGTGATAAGCTGACTGACTGACGGACTGAATGATTGAGTGACTTATTGACGGACATTGACTGACTGACAGACTGTATGACGACTTGACTGATTGGACTGTATGACTGATTTACTGGCTGACTAGCTCACTGTCTTATACACTAATAGACTGACTGATTTATTGACTGAATGATAAGCTGATTTCACTGACTGTCCAATACACTAATAGACTGATTGACTGACTGACTGCAAACTGACTACAAGATTTACTGACTGACTGATAAACCGATAAGCTGTCCGATAAACGGACTGACTGATTGATTGATTAATTGTCTGACTGATAAACCGTCTTTTAAACTGACTGCTAAAGTAACTGATTGACTGATTGATGTTCAACGACGCGCAGATTAAAAAGAAAGGAAGTTGCTTTGTGTGTAGATGCACGTACTGTGTATAACGGGTGGAAAACGTATGTATACAATTTGTTGCTTACCACCCAATCGGATTGTTGTCTGTATTATTCGTTGTTGTGATATTTTAGAATCTTTCGGCCATTTTTTCTAACAACTTATGCCAATGTATAGATCAAGATCCTTCTCAAAATCCTTCTCTTCGCAATGTTCAGGCAACGCAGATGAAAAATGGAGATCAAAGTTTGCGAGTTTGCCAAAACCCAGGTCTACTTTTAGGAAGTGAATCTAAATACAAGCCGAGCAAGCAGAGCACTGCTTGTAAACGTTTTGTAGTTAAACAAAAAAAAAAACAGTGCCTACTTTTCAGGGCCATGCGTTTAAGGATATTTCGATTAAAGTCAAAGCAACGGAAATACAAATTTATTGTTAACTACAATTTGATGCTCTATAAAAAGTTTTATTTTCCAATGGAGAAACCAGGCGAGTAATAAGGTTGAGTTCCGACTGCACAGTATATTAGAATTCAAATTGTAATCCTCATTAAGCACTTGGCGGCCTATTGATTTGGATATTTAATAAAGCGGTTTGAGCCCCTGAAATGGAATAAAGTTTGAAGACAGAAATTTATTAAAAACAAACGGAGTTAAATTATTTAAACATTGCAGAGTTATGTATGCTTATATTCCGGATCTCTTTAGATTGGAAAGTGCTTGGTCGATACAATTTGTAAGTTCCGCTTGTTTTGATTCCGCTATAAAAAATATATATTATTCTAATATCTATTTGTATGTTTTTTTTTTTTCGCAACAGTTGCTACTCCTAGCCCCGCAGCTCCCGACGCAGCCTCTGAAATGGAAACAAGTTTGAAGACGGTGGGTACATTATTGAAAATAAATGAAATTACATGATCCAAACATTGCCGAATTGGCGGGTATTTCTTTGTAGATGCCAAAGATATAGATATATATATGTATATATATATATAACAGTAGGCGCTGACGTTTGATTTGTCTACCAGCCTCACTCTCGCCTCGTTTAGGCTCATTCTACTTTTATTTCTTATATAGAAACAAACGTATACAGTCACATTTTAAAATTCTGTAGTCTTATTATATATATATTTTTTTTCTTTAAATGGATAACAAACTTTATAAAATTGTGTTTCGGCATGTCTACTGGACAGTTAGCGAATACCAAGCCGGGCCAAACCATTTTGTTAATAAGATTACCATTTATGAAATGGTCATAAAGAAGATGCGGCGCAACAAACATAACGAAAATCTAAGGGCTCTAATAGATGCAGCCTTAAAAGAGTTAAAAGAGTGTGGTATTGTGGCCTTTGTGGAGCCGGACCTCTTTGGCATCTATAAAGAAATACCCCCCAATTCGGCAATGTTTAGATCATGTAATTTCATTTATTTTCAATAATGTACCCACCGTCTTCAAACTTGTTTCCATTTCAGAGGCTGCGTCGGGAGCTGCGGGGCTAGGAGTAGCAACTGTTGCGAAAAAAAAAAAACATACAAATAGATATTAGAATAATATTATATATTTTTTATAGCGGAATCAAAACAAGCGGAACTTACAAATTGTATCGACCAAGCACTTTCCAATCTAAAGAGATCCGGAATATAAGCATACATAACTCTGCAATGTTTAAATAATTTAACTCCGTTTGTTTTTAATAAATTTCCGTCTTCAAACTTTATTCCATTTCAGGGGCTCAAACCGCTTTATTAAATATCCAAATCAATAGGCCGCCAAGTGCTTGATAAGGATTACAATTTGAATTCTAATATACTGTGCAGTCAGAACTCAACCTTATTACTCGCCTGGTTTCTCCGTTGGAAAATAAAAATGAACACCCTGAAATCCGTTCAAATAACATTTACATTGAAAAGGGCGATTGGGCAGAAGTTTTTAACGGTTCAGCAATTCCGTAAAGCAACTCTGTGAAGGATCTTAGCTTGCATCTCGATCGGAGACTTACATGGACTACTTCTAGCAACTCAAATATTGAAATTATTCAGCGCTTTCAGTCAAAAATATTGCGATCCATACTAAAGATAGACTTCACAGACACCAAAATAACCTAGCCCTAAATCTAACAGTTCATAGTCCAGCAGTAAGAAGACTTCAAAGAGTGCATATTCTCGATCTCGCGGAAAGATACATTAAATAGGTTAAACTTTAACCTAACATACAAAATAAGTAAAATATCAAAGTAGGCTTCACTGGAAACTTTCTATTCCTGTTATTTTGAATTATAGCTGACTAAATTTACTAAATTTTCTTGGGAAACTAAGGAGTTTAGTGGAAATATCCTGGAAAATGATTTTTGTTGCCATACAAAAACAGATTTTCGACCGATTCCTCATATAGAAGAGCTAAATAATGTAGTGCGATCTGAAGGTTCGGTTCATATATAAAGTTGAATCAATTCGTAGGGACCGTCGAATGGTTAAACGGATCGACTCGGCTGTTGATGCTGATTTGAATATACATATATAAGTACTAATGGGGTTGGCCCATCTCCTCTGGCAAGCCCACTTCCATTGCTATCTACTCTGCTCTTGTCTCTTTCTGTTTATATCTCGCTCTGTTTCATGTTGTCGAGCTCTTCAAGAAATACAAAACGTTTTAGCAAAAAAAAAAAGATTGTATTATTAATATAAGTGTTTAATTATGATTAGAATCGTTTTTTTTTTCTTTTGTTTTTTGGTTTTGTTCTTTGATTTGTCTTTAAACTAAGCCGCTTGCTCTGTCGCTCGCATTCATTTTAGTTCCATACAATCTCGTATTTACAATATTGAGTTAACAAACTTTTAGTTATACAATACACAATACACTGGAGTACATCAATTTGTTAGACTGCGACAGGGACACACACAAAAAAAAAACATGATTTTTATAATAATAATAGTAATAATAATATGTAATACAAAAGAAGTCAACGCTCGGCAGGCCGAAGTTTTGAATGGACTCCAAGCTAGGGCCCGACTTGCGGCTATATACAAACGATTTTCAACGCGAATCGGAGAACGCTTTTTAATTGTTTTGGTAAATATGCAAAGTTTTTCAAAAGAATTGGTTACATTTCTGTCGAATGGACCCCCTAAGCCCCAGTTGGAGTATGTTTACATAGCATTGGTTACACATTTTTTTTTTTTTTTCATTTTTGGTATGTCTAGGTAAAAAAAATATGTGATTTGCATTTGTGTTGGAAAAAGTCATTAGAATAATACATTGATCATAATGTTGGTTGATTTCTTAGCGTGTATGTGCCGTCATATCTTATGGTATTTATCATATATATAAAAAAAAAACACTATGCAACATAGTAAATGAAAAAAGAAATAAAACAGATTTTTCAACAAAAAAAAAATCAAGTTTAACTAGAGAGTTTGCATTTAAAAGTTATAAATACTTTCAGACAATTGCATTGACAGTTCGTGTAAAATAGAAAACAAGAGCTTAAGCTAAAAAATTGTTATAAAAACAAAAACAAAAAAAAAAAAAACATACAAGAGATCAAAGCTTGGTTAAAAATTAAGTGGAATACATGGGCCTTAGCCTTGTGGAAATTTTAGACATATTTGTTTTCTGAAGACCAATTCCAGACAGTAAATTAAACAAAAAACAATAACTAAAAAAAACATGTTACATAGTGCGCTTAGTTGTTGCTTCTTGTTTTCTTGTTTCCTTTTTTTTTTTTTGGCTACCTTTTTCTCTTATTTTTGTTTTTGGTATGCGTGTTGTTTAAGGAAAGATAAGTCTCGATCGTCGACAATTGTCGCGCCATCATAAGTTTAGGGTTTGCCATAGAAACCTATATATACCTCTATATATATATATATATATATATATATAGGGAGAGAGAGAGCTATAGATCGCGCGCCTATAGCGTCTTCAGCATGGTCGCCTTGCCGGCGCTGCTCTTGTACGTCTCGTAGGAGGCGGCAGCGGCGCCCACATGCAGCTGCGCATAGCCGGAGCTATTGGCGACGGCTGCAGCAACTGCCTCGGCCCCATTGACCACCGACGGCGATATGGATTTATGTGGCTTATAGCGTTGCAGCATCTCCGCGGAGGTGAGCTTAAAGGTTTCGCACATTTGGGCGCGCACACGTTCCATTAACTGATCGATGTCATCCTTGGTGAGTCCCTCGGTGCTAACCGGCGGCAATGTCGTAATCACAATCCGTCCAGCGTTCAGTATTTTCTTTTTATCATTGAGGAATGTACAATAGGAGCTAAAGACGACCGGCAGTATCGGTATCTGCTGATCGATGGCCATGTGAAAGGCGCCCTTTTTGAACGGATGCAGTTCGCCGGTGTTGCGGCGTGTACCCTCCGGGAATACCCATAGCTTGATGCGCTGCTTCTTAATCCGACGATTGACCGCATTTAGCGTATCCCGCGCCTTCTCACCGCGCACACGATCAATGAATATGAGCCCAGCCAGCCAGGCGGCCAAGCCGAATGGCCAGGCATAGAACAGCTCCCGTTTGGCCACCACCGTGCACTTATTCATCACGTGCCAGATGTTGAACATGCCTGGCACAGGGGTCAAAAGATTTTGATTAGTTTCCATTGGCTGTTGCGGGTTGCCTTTTGCATATTTACCCAGCACATCCAGTGAACTCTGATGGTTAGCGACAATGATGCAGGCCTGATCCTTCTCCAGATGCTCCTTGCCGCGCAGCTCCCAGCGCAGGCCAATTAACGCCGTGACCCGATGACACCAGGTGCTCGCCCAGCTGCAAGGATTCAGATTGCAATCAAATACATTTCAGATAAGAAGCCAGCAGAGGCTGTACACTTCTATCTTTCTTTATATGTGTCTGTGTCTTTAAGGGTATTCAATCTTCGTTCTAAATACAGCCTTTCAAGTCCGCCCAATCACAGAGGCTTTCCAATTATGAGCCGAACACTTTTAGGATTCCGTGTAGAAAATATGCAGTGACAACAAAGTGGGCGTATAGTCAAGTAAGTAAATCTCTGTCTAATATTGAGTTCCCATTTTGATTTCTGGCTTGCCATCCCGTCCACCTGTTAACGATGTTATGCACGACAATTCAACAGGATGCCCACTTCGTCATGGGAGCGGTCCAGGCCCATTAAGCGTTCGAACAAGAGCAGCATCTTTCCGGATGATGGATGTCGGCGACCCCAGCTGTTTGTTGCCTCGTTTGAACGGAAAACGGAACGTCCGCAGATGAGTCTGTTGCTTGGCTGGGAATATGGTCGCGAATGGCTAAAGGAACGCGATGAGTTTCTCCGTCACGATACATTCAAGTCGAACAAGCGATTCATTGAGCCGGACTATAATTGGTGGCTAAAGAAGCGCCAAATTGTGCTCGATCGCAGGAAGCTCTTTACGCGCACTCGCCGAGCGGCAGCGAATCACAAGAAGTGCTATGAAATGACCGCGTTCGACGAGGCCAGGCAGCTGCGGCAGGAGCGCGAGCTTCAGCAACAGCATCCCGAACGTGCCACCCATCTAGAAGTCAAATGCGAATGTGCCGATTGCAAGCAGAAGAGATGTCGCAACGCCGTGCCACAGCAAGCCCACGTTTAACGAACAGACACTGGCGCCAGCCAGGTAATGCGCTGAGCTTTACTTGGATTGGATGGCACGTGGCAAGGTAAGTGGCAGGTGCATGTCAAATGTTGACGCGCACTTTTTGACACTTTGTCAAAACCGGTGTGGGAAGGTTTGCTCATGTTTCTGTCAGCCCAATTGGCAGTGTTTTTTAAAAGCTATTCAATGTTACGGCGTTGCCACATTGCCGCTAAATGCATGTCCGGCAACACCAAACATTGTCGGGCAAACATAAAAAATCCGAGAAGTTTATCTTCTCGCTTATTCGAGAGGAGATTAGACGTTTGTCCCGTTGATTATTTGATTGGAACTAACCTTGCAGCGTTGCCACCTTGCTATTTAATACATGCCTGGCAACACCAAAGGAAAATTACGAGCAGCTTTTCCTATCAATTTGTTTGATATGAAGCTAGCAATGCAGCGTTGCCACTTTGTCGTTAATTGCATGTTTGGCAACGCCAAATATTGTTGGCCACACTTAAAACATCAAAAATGCGAGCAGCTTAGCCTTTCGACAATTCCATGCAAAAATAGCATTTCAACGTTGCCACCTTCAAGTAAATTTCACATATGGCAGCACTTCACAAAAAAGTAAAGGATTAAATTAGAAATATTCGGATATTTATTCCGCTTATCAACATTTAACAAGCGAAAAAGAGCACAAGTCGATCTCATTGTCAAATTTTGACAAACACATTGGCAATACAGTGATGCCACCTAGCAATGCACTGCAGCTCTGGCGACACCAGACAGAGCTTGCTTGATAAGTATTTTTGATATACGTGTTTACATTATTAGCCTGATTGTCCTGAAGAAATTTGGTGTTGCCACATGGCAATAATTTAGACATACGGCAATATTGAAACTCATTCATTTTGCCTGTCAACGTAGTTTTGGTAATAAACAAATTGATGAGTTAGTTTATACCTATGTAAAGAAAGGCAATTGCCGCCAGCTCGCTGTTGGCGTTGCCAGACTGTCACAAAATGTAACTTCCTGTCAAATTAGGCAGAGCCGTTCAAAGCTTGACAGAAACATGAGAAATCGCCGCCTTAATCACAAAAAATTCTAGAAAAATTCTAAACAAAACTTTCCCTCTCAGTTTTACTCTCAGTTTATCCAATAAATGATACACGACACGCTACAATTTGTTATTTTGGCACACCAGCTACAGAAATTCATACGCAATTCTCGAGAAGATCGGCGAGCGCACAACAGCTGCCAAGGTCGAATTCTGAATGGGTTGGACGACCGCACCGCTCAAAATTGTTGCCATCTAACGAGATGTGACCCTGGCCACAGCCGGCTCCATCAATAGATCGCTCGTATTGTCAATTTCCAATTAAAATGCAAAGCACGCTTTGCAACAAAATACGAATACAAATAATAATTGTTGTTTTGTTTTTTCTTCTTCTTTTTCTAAATACCCCAATGCCTTTTGGTGCAGCACGAATGGGCGGCTGCGGGGCAGCCAAGCTGTCAGCCAACTCTGATTACCATCTATGTGAGGCGAATGCATGCGCTGCAGCTTGTGCTCGGATATATGCAAATAGTTGTGCAACCACACTGAAGCCCACATGGGACTTGGGCGACAAGGCAGGCACTGATAGCCGACGCGTCAATACTCTTACTAGAGTTAACTTAATTCGAGCTGCGGAAATCTATATTCATATATATTAAAATTATTGCAAGAGTATTGAATGCAACCAAAGCCAGCCTTGCATTGAAGATTTTAATAGAAATAAAATATATAAGAGAGTCAAACCCCTTTCAAGATCGCACTACTTTAATATATAGCTCTATGCTAAGAATCAATCGAAATTTTCTGCATGACGAAATACTCTTATTTTCCAAGATATTTTCATCAAACTCTGCGACATTTACGAGCTTCACTTTTCCCACATCTCTGGCAAACCGTACGACAAATCTCTACAAGAGTATTAAATCTTCGGCGTGCCGAAAATGTTCTCACTTTTACGTTTCATGTTGCCAAAATGCTAAGACTGGTTAAAAATTCTATTTAACTTTTTAAAAATATGAACGAATCTGCAGAATGTTCAGTAAAAAATTGAATTGTTGTGGAAAGGGCACAAACCACAGGCAGGAAGCTGGTTCAAACCTTTTTATGTAGTACATGTGCTATATGTAGCCGAAACTATCAACGGGCGTGACATAGTTATGGGACCCGACAGCAAGCGTATTGTGTACAGAATTCGGGCATTCGACTTTTCGGGGCGAGCGCCCAATTTTCTTTTTTGGCTAGCTGAGGGTTACGGCAGGCCCCAATATGTCGTGAAATATTGCTTGGTTATATCACAAATATACATATACATATATATATGTAATATATCTGTAGATATTTGGAGTGTCTGCTTGGCAATCGATTGACGCACACCTGCAGCTGATGCATTCAAAGCAATTATAATATGATTAAAATTGTACGAATTGTCATTAAATATGAAGAACCCTCACTCTATCTTGCTGGCCGAATGCCCCAAAATATGCACACCCTGGGCAACTCGGGCGACCTCGCCAAATTGCCAGTTGGCGTTGGCGTGCGCCGCAAACAGAGCCCCGCAAGGGGTCGGCACGTGTCAATTGCACCGCTCGCACCGCCCGCCGTCCCGCTGTCGGCGCCAAACATGCGTTGTCCTTCACACAATCGGAGCCCAAACAAATGTCGGTTCAACAAATAGAATACTTAACTCTGTTGCCCCTTACCCCTGACCACGCCCACGCCCATGCCCATGCCGCTGCCACCCAATGCAGGTGTTCCCAAGCTGCATTTGGCTTTCAAAGTCTCGTAAATATTGATAGTTACTTAGCTAGCCAAACTGAAAGGTCACAAGGTGACAGGCGGCACAGCAGATAAAGGAAATCACGGAACAAGCCTATTGAGCAAGGTTGAGAAAAATGATTTGAGCCGCAAACTGGTTCAAACCCGAAATTTTATATACTTATTTATCAACAGCCTTAAACCCAAGTGAAAGGCAATCGAACGTTAGCCTATTTTGTCAATTGAGCAAGGCTGCAGAACAGATTCGAACCGCAAACTGGTTCAAACTCGACATTTTTACTTTCTGTTTTTCCTATGAGCCGTCAGAAATCCATCTTCATCTACTGCATTTGTCTGTAGCTTAAATTTTTAGAACTGAAATTGATTCCTTTATTCAAGTTTTTAAAATATAGAAAGGAAGTGAGCCCGATCTGAGAAAATACTCTAGATAACGCAACGTAAACCTTATGTCGGATTAGCTGAACCAAGAACAGTTGAGCTTAGTTAAAGTTTTTTATTCAAAAGTTTTTTTCTGTTCAAAAAAAAAAGTTTGAGATCCTAACTCATCGAGCCTGCCCATATTTGGTGGCAAGTAAACATTATGATATAATTCTACGAACCTAAAACGAAAATGTTTGGGATCTTGGCAGTAATTTGGAATGTAATCCCCATAATCCTAAAAAAGTTGTGGCTAAAGTAATTCCCGTAAAGTACAAGCTCATTAAACTTTACAATCTTTTCGAGAACCGAGATTTTTAACATAATCTAATTAGAATCCGAATTCTTATGAGCGGGAATGTATTATTAAGGCCTAGCATTAGTTGTGGGGCCCGTAACCCTTGACATCATTAGCTCGTGTGTTATTCGACAAATAATTAAAAAGAAATAAACAGACGACTGTCTAATTGTTACAACCTGGCAACTAATGAGACCCAGTCAAGGTCAAAGATGCCAGGTAGGGCACGTAATCAAAGTAAAGGTTTATCGAGCTCATATTTCCGGAACATATATATATATATATATATATATATATATATATATGTTTGTATGCATATGTGTGAAAGCCAAGCAATCAGAGCGAGTGGACAATGTGGCAAAGTGGTTGCAATTTGAGTAACTGCCGATTCCGTTGAGCACAAATAGTTATTATTGCCCGATTTCAATTGGCCAAGCGAGTGTGTCAACAAATCGACAATCTAATAGAGCAATAGACAACAGTCTATCGATTTCTGAATGCATAATCAATGACAATGAGAGGGCTGCAGGCAATCAACTTCCCACAGCAATTTAGCTGGCCACAAGTGCTGGAGGTCTAATAGGGTAATCGTTTATACTGCATTCAATTTTAATATACCCTCGTCGAGTGCACTTTCATTTTGCAATAGACTGTGCTCGGTTGGCGTTATCTAGCTGGCAACAAGTCTCATGGAAGATCGTCCAGATCGAAGTGCTATATCATGGAGCTGCCTCGGGAACTAACTGTTCAGAAATTATTATTTACTTTATGTACAACTTATCTAGGCTCCTCATCGAATAACACTATAAATATCGGGCCATTATATCGTATTACTTGCATAGGAACAATCGTCTGCAAGCTAAGTTCTTGTAAGATCGATCGAAAATTAAGTTCTTGTCAGATAAACTCTTTTGTTTTTTTTTTTTTTGGCAGAGCCCATCAATATCGGAACTACTATATCATATAGATATCGGTTGAAAATCAAGTTTCTGTCTGAACAACTTTTTGGCCTATGCATATATATCTATGCCCCTTAATTATTGATCGTATCAATATCAAGATGCAAAATCCTATCAAAAAAATTCCTATCACTATATCATTAACTATTATATATCTATCAAGAATATCCCTCATATAATAATAATTTCTTGTATTTGTTTATCAAGATATCTTAACGAAACGCGGCATTTATCGGGGTTCAAGCTATAGCTACAATCGGAACGATAGGCTTCTAAGCAAATTCTTGCAACATCGAACTACTTTAATCATATAGCTCTATATGTATTATCGATCAAAATATATGTGTATTCTTTAAGAGATCTAGAGCAAACTTTCCAATTGCGTGCCTCACAATTCTCGCCATATTTCGGCATAAACGTTATAATTCCACAAGGGTATTTCATTGTCGGTGTGGCAAACATAGTAAATATATTTCATATATATATATATATTTTTTTTTTTTAATTTTGTTTTCATACTCACAGTAAATTGCGCACATCGCAGGGCCGTGTGAGAAACGCCGGTATCAGAATGATCGAGTTAAACGAGACGATTCCATAATAGATTAAAAACTTGAAATAATATCGGAATATGTGGTTCGTCTCGTATAGAAAAGGCAGCATTAGCAGCACGAACAATCCAAAAAGTTCCAGATAAGAGCTCATCTTGAGTGTGTGTGTGTGTGTGTGTGTGTGTGTGTGTGTGTGTGTGTGTAGCCTGTCTGCCTGTCTCTCTCTCGCTCTATCTCGCTCTCTCTCTCTCTCTGGGTCTATCGCACTCTCTTTCGTTGATCTTTATGTCTCTAGTCCAGGCTCTCTCTTCTGTCTGCTGCAGTCGACGTCGCCGTCTCCGTCTCCGTTTTCGTACGTATTCCGCGGCGAGGCTTAAGGCAGAGCGGTGCAGTCTTTTCTGTTATGATCCTAGCTGCAATGTGGCGAAAGTAAGTTCCGTTTGTAATCGAGAGCTGAAAACCGTTACCGTTAGAGATGAGCGCGTGTCGAATTGTTAGATACCGATATGTTGTGTTTTCCCATGGAAAACCCAGAGCTGCAAATACAAAATATATGTATCAATATATATTTATATATATATATTTTTTTTTATTTGATTTTGAGCAAGTTATCTGCGTTTGGGCTGGCCACCCGTTGATTTTTGCACATTTTCAAATACCTAATTTGATCTTAATGCGAAATTTGCATTTACATGAATTTAATCTTAAACTAAATTTTAAGTGTTCTTCAATATATATATATTCACGTGTGCAAATCAAAAGGAAAGGAAGAAATTGTAATATGTAGACAATACTATCGGTATATATATTGCATTTAATACTTATTATAGGGCACGACACGCGCCCATCTCTAGCCTAATTGCTCTTTCAGCAATATTCCATTGTGATTGTTGTGCCATTTAAATGGACACCACTGTGTGAGTAACTGTGCAAGTGTGATAATGAGTGGGAGCGAGAGGTGTGCTTGCAAATGTAAATGCGACAGAGCGAGCGAGCCGAAGGGAAGGTTTTGCGTGCGCTTTGCGTCGCATTCTTTGCCCTGCTGCATTACCATGATTATTTGGCGAGTGCAGCAGCAGCAACAACAACAGCAATAACAACAACAAAACACACAACAGCATTAAAAAAAAATCAATTTAAATTGCCGAGCAAAACAAAACAGAGAAGAAACAAAAGTCAAGAGCTCGTTTTTTATGTGGGCGACATTATTGAGGTTTCTTTCTATGATGAGATAATTCAATATGATATGATTAAATTGCGCGATACACTGATTAACACAGCATATAATTACGGTAATTGCTTAATAAAGCAGAACTACAAATAATTATATATCAATAACTGCATTCGACTTGGGTTTTACAGTTATTTTTATGTAATTGCAAGCGAATCTGTGTCGAATTCTTTTGGGATTAGTTGGAGCTAAAATTTTCGATTCTATATTCAAGAATATTAAAAATCTTAGTGGCAAATATACATATATGGCTAAATTACTGTCTAAGTTTGTTCAGGAATATTGCAGAATTCCTCAGATATTGTTCTTCTCTCTCTTGTCAACTCCCAAAGCATCAAGAGCATATGCTTTGGGTTTTACAGTTATTATTATGGAATTGTGAGCGAAGCTGTGTCGAATTCTTTTGGAATGAGTTGGAGCTAGATTAAGGAATTCTCTTGCGAAATTTTCGGGCAACTATTTGCGAGTTTGGTGGCAAATTCTTTTGCCGTATCTCCTAACGCTTCCGCACTGAAAATCATTAGCTTTAGTTAAGAGAGGTATAGATTCTTTCACGTTCTATTCTTTTACAACTTATTCTTCCTAATATGAATACCACATAGGGTATTTGGGGTCTCACAGTTACAGGTTTTATGTATCGAAATGTAAACAAACTTCAGAAGAGAAGAAACTGCAACATTAGGCAAGATCCCCTGCAAGTATGCAGTACTAAATTGTATAAGAGAAAAAGTAGAAAAGGCACAAGTTGATAGTGGATAGAGTGTTACAGATACCCTGTAGACCCTGCCAGGCCAAAAGATATAAGGTAGCTAAGCAAACAAATATATTTTACGAAAATGATTCTTCGTTCTTTTAATACTGTAATAATATTTAAATGGAACTTTTCTCTAATGAGAATAGCGCAGCGTTTTAATTAACGAGTGATCACTGTACCTGCCAGACATCAATATACCTTTGTTCTAAGCCCTATTAACAGGTATCAGGGGAGCAATTGGGGCCAAACTTGGTTGAGCAGGATATCCATACGTGTATGCAGATGTATGTATGTGTGTATGCATATACCCTACATGGCCAGATGCGGGCACGTTGCATGGCAATTAATCTACCCGCTTGCAACAGTTACAGGGTATACCAGTGCAATAACTTTAAAATGATTTAAGTGAGCATCCGGTACTCTCTCTCTCCCTCTCTCTCTCTCTCACTCACGTGTACATGGCGAAAGCAGCGGCTGCTGTAAGAATTTATGATCTTTATTTGTGTGCAAGCCGGCAGGACATTGACCCACACACACACACGCACACACATAAACACAGCGCACACCAGAAAAAAAAACAAAGTAAATTTATGAAGAAAAAAAAAAACAACTTGCATCTTATGCTGCTCACAACTCATAGACATACACACACACACACACACACACACAGCTGCTTGGGTGCATGTGTGTTATGTCTAGGATAACTGTAAGCCGAATATTTTAGCGTCGTTCCGCCAAGCGCGTTTGCAAGCAAAAAGCAACAAGAACAAAAACGAAGTGAGGGTTGCAAAGGAGACAAAAATCAGCCGACGCCGCAGCAGCAGCAAAAAAAAAACACACGCGCACACACGCACACATGAACGGAAAGAGACGAGGTAAGGATAACAAGCAAAACAAATGAAAAATAAATAGAGTAACACGATAACAGTGCACAATTTGCAATTAAAATGCTTGTCTGCATTTATTATTGTTATTTTCGTTGTTTTTCTTCTGCCTTTTTCTCTTGTGCGTGCTTTGCATTTAATTCCTTTTTGTTTTGGCCTCGTTGCTGCTGCAGTCGCTGCGGCAGCTTCTTTGTGCAGCGGCTGTGCTTTGCAGCCGGGACAAAACACACACACACACACACACACATAGACAGGCAGGCCAGCATAATCTCTTCTCACACACATACACACACGCACACTCAAAATTAACTAAAGTAGCATTAATATAATACAATTGATGAACGGGCGACAACAACAATGCGCGCGAGTCGAGCCTGACGACAACACATGAAATTATGTTCAAGCATGCTGCATTTCTTTTCTCTATCTTCTTAGTCTCTCTGTGCTGTGTTTTTTTTTTTCGTTTCAGTTATGTTTTCGCTTTGATCTAAATAGTGAGGGTTTACGTTTTTTTTTTTTTTTGTCTTGATGTGACGCCGCTGCGGTTGACAATGTTGGCAGCAACGGCGACGACGACCGGGCGCCGTTAAAACGTAGAGCGCGAAAAATGTTGACAAGAATTTCCGTTACCGACGTGCTTGCTCTGCGGTGACGAGAAAAACAACAACAAATTGCAACAAAATTGATGCTTAGCAGCAATCTGTTAATAACATATTCGCCAATGTTATACTCAAAATGTACTGTTTTCATATGGATTTTAAACGCTTAACGAATGTCACACTTAACATTTACTCACCCAACGAATTGTAATGTGCTCTGGTACAGTATTGTAACGAATTGACGAACCGGCGGTGTGTGCATTAAGCGCAAGCTTTACTAATTATATCGAATTATTTGAATCGACACTCAGTTGGTTGTTACACCTGCTTAAGACTTTGGCGCGCAACTTAAATTAAAGATTATCTGTGCAACAGTCACAGCATGCGCAATATGCGCCAAAAATGAAAACCAAATACCATTCGATTTTATTTGTTTAGTATTTTTTTTACTATAATAGATGCTGCAAGGTATGCAGGATACTTGGCAGAACTCTCGCTTGTCCAAAAACATTGCTGTGTTTCCGCCTGTGGGCACTTGGCAACCGGCGAGAGACCCTGATCCCCACCACCCCGCCTGACCCAGACAAATAGCTTGGCATGCGGAAAACGTGTCGTCGAGTGAAGCCAAGGGGGAAAAAAAAAAACAAAAATATTATTGTTTACATGGGGCTGCCAAGCCAAATAAAAATAATGACACGCTGATAATCTGGATTGATCTCTGGGACGAAATAAAATCGAAATGACGGACAGCAGCCGTAATCGAAAATAAGCTAACAATCAGCAAGAAACGCTTTTAAATGACAATTACTGAATATAATAAACCACATTTAGCTCAAATCTAGCAGGCAGGAAGATCATAGACAGCGACATCCTTAAGAAAAAGAAAGTGTTTTTATTCAAACCATCATCTAAACCAAGCAGTATATGTTAATACCTCTTTAAATACTAAAAAAGATGGTAACACTGTCGGCCAGGCTGCCTAATTGAATTCGTTTCGTGCGCTACGCATCTGCACATGATGAAATAAACATCGTTTTACTTGTGCATGCCGAAGTCTGTATACTCTTGCGCGTGCATTTGACATAACAGTTGCGCACACTACATAAATGTTGACTTGCAGCTGTAACAAGCAGCGCTCAATAATCATGCGACTCTGTGCCTATGTGTGCTTTCACAGTGCGCTCTTTCGCTTACTCTCTCAGTTACGCTCAGCAACTCTGTAAGCGATCGCCAGTTGCTATGCCTACTCGCGGTGCGTCAGTGTGTGCGTGTGTGAGTGCTTTTGCTTGTGTGTGTGTGGGTAATTTGAGATAAGCAATGAGCGCAAAGCAGGCACATAAAGTCGCTGGCAGCGCGTCTGTTGGCGCACAGTTGGCCTGGAGCTCGACTTCGACACAGACTGTAGACGATTGTCGTGTAAATAAAATAATAGAATAACAAGCACAAAGCATAACGCGCAACACGTGAGCGAATTGAAATTCAAATAGAAGCTTAAACGAACAGAATGCCAGCCACAACAACAACAACAACAAGTAAGTGCACACCGCAAACCCCAACCCCGGTGCCAATTATTTAACCAACCGACCGCCCGCCCACCACAGTTGATGGCTACAAGCTGGGCAAGGTGCTCATCGAGGGCAAAACGAAGCAGGTCTACAATCTGCCCGAACATCCTGGCCTCTGTCTGCTGCTCAGCAAGGATCGCATCACAGCCGGCGATGGCGTCAAGGCGCACGACTTGGCCGGCAAGGCGGAGATCTCCAATACGACCAATGGCCAGGTATTTCGCCTGCTCAACGAGGCCGGTAAGTCTATTATACATACACATATTCGCCTCAGACTGACTCTCTATCTCTCTCTCGCTCGCTCGCTCGCTCGTTCTCTCTGTAGGCGTACGCACCGCCTATGTGAAGCAGTGTGGGGCGAAGGCTTTTATTGCCCGCGAATGCCAAATGATACCCATTGAGTGGGTAACCCGACGTCTGGCAACTGGCTCCTTTCTCAAGCGCAATGTGGGCGTGCCCGAGGGCTACAGGTCAGTAACATCCGTTAGGTTATCTACCTTGCATTTTGCATGCGACGGCGACGGCGACTGCGCCTTATCAATTGCAACCAACGTCAGTGACCCCTAAAGCGCCTCTCCCCCCCCCCCCGCCTCTTTCTGCCCTGCTCACCGCCCCTTGCTGGCTGCTGCGGTAAACAAATTGAGATACTATTAATGCACTGCATCGAGGTCATCCCCGCCTGCCCCCGCTGCCCTGATAAGCCGCGCATTGGCTGGTTAAAATAACACACACAATTATAGACGATCTTTTGATACCCTTTTAGAGGTTATTATCAATATCGGTTTACTATATCATATAGTTGCCCTTTTTTTTCAAAATGGATAAATAGGGTATTATGTTTCTGTGCAAATCTATGTAACAGGCCAAAGAATATATATATAAATATATTCTTGATCAGGACAGCGAGCTTAATCGATCTAGCCATATCCATTTGTTTCTTTGTCTGTATAAAATCTATATAAAGATAACTAAATCTTTGACTGAGTGCCCTGAAAATTGTCTTATGATCGGATCACAAATACCGATCGATTGATCAACTCGATAACTGTGTAGTCGAGCGAAGACTTTTATCGATAACTGTTTAATCGATTATGATTCTGACCCATTGCAGATTCTCGCCGCCCAAACAGGAGACATTCTTCAAGGATGACGCCAATCATGATCCACAGTGGAGCGAGGAGCAGATCATTTCGGCCAAGTTCGAGCTAAACGGTCTGGTGATCGGTAAGTGAAGAAGAAGTGAATTGCTGCAGCAATTCGAATTGGAACCAACTAAAAAAGCGTCCACTTTGCAGGTCAGGATGAGGTGGACATCATGCGACGCACAACCCTGCTCGTCTTTGAGATTCTCGAGCGGGCGTGGCAGACAAAGAACTGTGCCCTGATCGACATGAAGGTCGAATTTGGCGTTGACTCCGGTGGCAATATTGTGCTCGCCGATATCATAGATTCGGACTCGTGGCGCCTCTGGCCGGCTGGCGACAAGCGTCTAATGGTCGACAAGCAGGTCTATCGGAATTTGACATCGGTGACGAGCACCGATCTGGATACGGTTAAGCGCAACTTTATCTGGGTATCGGAACAGCTGGCCGATATTGTGCCGCGCAAGGATCACTTGATTGTGGTGCTCATGGGCAGCGCATCGGATACATCGCACAGCGAAAAGATTGCCACCAGCTGCCGTTCGTTGGGCCTCAATGTTGAGCTGCGCGTCAGCTCGGCCCACAAGGGTCCGGAGGAGACGTTGCGCATTGTCCGTGAATATGAATCGGTTATGCAGAATCTAATCTTTGTGGCCGTTGCCGGACGTTCGAATGGCCTCGGACCGGTTGTATCCGGCAATACAAACTATCCGGTAATCAACTGCCCGCCGGTCAAGTCCGATAACATGCAGGTGGACGTCTGGTCCAGCCTCAATTTGCCATCGGGCCTGGGCTGTGCCACCGTTCTCTATCCGGAGGCAGCTGCGCTGCATGCGGCCACCATTTTGGGACTGAGCAATTTCATGATCTGGTCCAAGCTGCGCGTCAAGCAGCTCAACAATTTCGTGACCCTCAAGAAGGCCGACAAGGAGCTGCGCGGCGTGCGCAATGTCTGAGCAGCAACATTTTGCCATTTACTCCATTTACATTTGTTTTTGTTTTTTTTTTTTTTTTTTTACATATATTTCTTTTCCCTAAACATTTATATTAACTATAACAGTTGTGTTTTAGTTTAGTTCGCACAAATACAATTTCATGTGGAAATAATTGTGGCGCCTTCTTTTTTGAATTGTTTAACGGTCGAGCGCAGGGTTTGTGTCTTGGCTAGCGTGCAAATTTCATAGCATGCTTTTGGGCTGCGCTCAAATTAATTTGTAAAAAGTCTCTTTTTAAGTTTGTGCAAAGAATTTGTCTCCGATCACTTGAGGTATATGCATATATACATAACATAGCATCTTATATATATATATATATATATATATATATATATATACAACATATTCATGTCCTTTTGCCTGTTGCTAAGCCAAAAAGTCGCCCAGTTTTAAAGCTTTTACCTTAAAGCTCTGCATCACGCCGAGCTTTTGTTGCAGGCATTGTATATATATACATCAGATTTGGTTCGGAAATCTAGATATATCCGCAAAAATGTTTTTGCTTAAAAAGCTCTAGTTTATCGAGATATATGATATTTATAGAAAGAAGCGTGGTTGGGAAACTTTTCTGTTTTCAAAGACAACTAGGCCAAGCTCTACAAATACCACATATATATATATAGTGTACATACCATATTCCTAGCATAGAACCTATTCTTTCTATAAAAGCACTTCCAAGTGTCAAGTTAACAAGGATTTTACAAACTTCGAGACTGTTTTTATTTATATAAAACGATTTTTTGATTCTTGAATTTCGTAATGTGAACTAGCTCTGATGACAAACTCTTCAACAATTTAAGCATGGCATGTTAAAGCATTTACAAATATGCAAAAAAAAAAGAGGCCCTGTAACCGATTGGGAATTGTTAAAGTTCCTGAACGAAAGTGTCCTGAACAAGTATTTTGCAGGAAAAGTTCTTTAACCAAAAGCTCTACTCGCTTTATAAAAAAGCAAAAGCTCTCTGCAGACCTCAACTCATCCAGACTTTAAACATTTTATATACTCTATACAGATTATGTCAAAGTGTTAAGCCTCTTGCCCATAGACTGCAGCAAAAGCCGTAAAGTAACTTCCAAGAACATAACCTCACTAATTATATATATTTTTGTAATGCCGTTATAATCCCTCTTCACAAATGCGATGAGAATACTCATGCAAATGGGCTGCTCTTCAGATTTCCTAATTGCAATCTAGTTAACATTTTTTTTCTTTTTCTCTCTCTTATCTGCTTTTGCGACTCGGCTAAATGCGCCGTAAGCCCACCCCACCCACTCTTCTCTACCCTTCCCATTCCTAGAAACGCTGCGCTACCTATCATCATTTTCCACACACACCCCCCTCCCTCCGCACGCTGCAACCGATTGACGCACAAGAGCTTAGCCAATGCCATGGAAACTGAGCTGCGTAGGTTTTGCATTCTGTGAAGGCGACAGCTGAGCTCTTTCACCCGCTTATGCCACCCCCCTCCCGGACAAGTGCAGCAGACTAAACAGTGATAAGAGAGTCGGATACTCGAGGCTGGGTAACTGAAGATGAAATCGGAGATTGTGCCAAGTGGAAGAAGAGTTGCCAGCGTTGCCAAGGCAAATTAGCTGTTCATTGTGGGTGGTTGGCGGGGGGGGGGGGGGGGGGGGGGGGGGGGGGGGCATACTGCGAAAGATGAGCAGTAGGTTGTGGAAGCCAGGGGGGGGGGGGGGGTTGGTTGTTAAAATGTGTTGAAGTGCGCCCCACACAACCTGCAGCCAATTAATCATACTTTAGCAACAAACACATTCATAATAATAACAATAATTTAGCATGTGGACCAGCGGGGCGAAGCGGGCCAAACAAATGCGTGTGCGTGTGCGTGTGCGTGCGTGTGCATGTGCGTCTGTCGAGTGTGAAGAGAGCAAGAAGCAGCAGGCGAAGACGAAGACAAAGACGAGAATCCCCCAGCGACAAAGCGCACATATTAAAAGTCAGGGTCAAAGTGCCATTGTGTTTGGCCCACGGTGCAGCTTATGCGGTCGCGGCCAGCTAACGGCCGTTGGTGTGAAAGAGAGCTGCTGCGCTGCGCTGCGCTGCGCTGTGCTGCTCTGCTTTGCGCTGTGTTCAGTTAATGGGCTGCGGGCAGCGGGCAGCGAAAGGGGGGCGCACGTTAAGCAGTCGGAGACGGTAACGACAATAAACAAAATATGAATGGCAAGGCAAATGTAACAAAATGTAAGAAAACAAGAAATGAATAGAAAACTTAAATGCATAGTCGACTTTCGAATGCCCTACGCACATATGTATACATATCTATGTATGTATGTACATATGTTGGTTATGCATGTGGAAATTACCGTTAATAAAAATCAATACACAATATTTTAATTAATGCCTCAGCGCTCATTGTTTAACATAGTGTTAATATAATGTACAGGCAAATACATATACATATACGTATGTGTACATCATATTATTTATCACACACATATGTGTACACATTTTGAGTTTGATTTTCAACACGCGCTTTAGTGTTTTTTTTTTTTTTTATATATATGTACGTATATTTTTTTTAACTCTGATATTGATTCAAGTAAAGTCAAGTCAAATAAATTGAACTTTTTGCGTTTCGGTTTTGTTTTTCTGGTTAATTTTCTGTTTCTACCGATTTTGCATTCTATAATTATCATAGTTTATCATCGATACACGAATAAATCAAATTTTAAAGCCATCTAATACCCTGAAAAGAGCATAGACAATTCCCCCCACATCAAGTTGTGCCATACCGAAGGATATCAAATTATTTAAAAAATATCATTATTTAGAATTTGATTCTGGAAAATATACATATGTATGTACATTTTGATAGTGATGCTTATTTTTTTAAAACTGTAAAACATGTGAAAATATATATTTACATACATACGTGTAAGCTTCTAGCGTCAAGTTCAATCCTGTCAGAAAATCATAAAGCACGTGGTAAAGAAAGTGTATTGAAAAATAACGTTGTCGTCGTCTTTGCTTTGCTTTGCATTGCGCAGCGGCTCAGAGGGGCTTGGGCCGTGCGGTCACCCAACGACAACAATGCCCGGCAATTGTTTTGCGGCGACAGCGACGGCGACGTCGACGTCGACGCCGACAGAGACGATGACGCGGCTATGTTTGCGGTTGCTGTCGTTTCCGTCTGCCCGACTGTCCGTTGGTCGCGACCAATCGGCGGGTGGGTTGAACGGGGAGGGGGAGGGTGGGGGATGTGTGTGCAAATGGCGGTGCTTTTGGCGCGGATCGTTTGCCAAAGCATAAAACAATTTTGTTACAAGCAAATGCCGCCGCCTCTTTGTCGATCTCTGCACACGTTTTCATTAACATTGTGTGCGTGCGTGTGTGTGTGTGTGTGTGTGTGTGTGTGTTCTGTCGCTTTTGCTGTGCGCCCTCTTCTGCCTCTTCAGCCTCTTCAGCTGCCGCAATTTCAGGCCGAGACTTCAACTTGTTGCTAAAAATATGCAAGACAGTAAGAGGAAAACCGGTTTTCAGCGATCATCAACTTGCTTGGCCTGTTGCTGGGTGCCAGTGGCCGCAAGCTATGGCAGCGACGGCATACATGCATGTATGTGTGTATGTACATATGTATATATGCGACTGTGCGACTTGATTGAGTTGGCTTAAGCAGCGAACGAAGCATGCACAAATAAAGCCAAGACAACAACAACATGCAAAAAAAACCAACACGTAATACAAGACGCGGCGCGGTGGGGGCCCTCAAACACGATCGTTCGTTGCGTCGGCCAAGCGCAAGCAGTGCGGGGGCAAAGCAGTTCACTTTTGTTGGCACAGCGAGCGGGGGCCTAACAGCAGGCAAACACACACACACACACCAACACACACATACAGGCAGAGTGGCAGCGATGATGAAGCCGCTGCCGACGCGACGGCGGCGTCGATTACGCGCGCATAGCCGGCTAGGCTTGTTGTTATTGTTGTTCTCATTCTCGTTGCTGCTGCTGCTGCTGCTGCTGCTGCTGTTGTTGTTGTTGTCGTTCTTATTGTAACCGCAAGTTGCGCTACTTTTGCGCTTATTCGGCTTCGCGCTTTAGTGTTATCTCGCTCACACACTCGTTCTAAGTCCATGCTTGCCAATTCACAATGTCACCCACCAGCCATAAATTCAGGTTAGGTTTTGTTTTCTTCTTTCCTTCTACACACATGCATGCACGAACGTGTGTCTGTGTGCGCACATTTGTATGAACATACATATGTATGCATGTATAAGTATGTGTGTATGTATGACAACTGACTTAACTGTGAATTGCTACGACTGCTGGCGACGATCGGTCGCATGTTAATGGACGACAGCCAGTGGAATCGCGCTCGTATGACGGCGTCGGTGCTGTGTTGGCGGTGGGGTGTGGGGTATGTGGTATGCCGGGGCTGGTCTTTGGACGCGGACATTTTGTGATAAGCGCACCGCGCGCGATCTGCCGATAATAAAAAACTTCAATAAAAACACATTAACAAAACAAAAATTAGCAATAGCCCGCGAAATGAATACAGAGAGGTAGAGAGAGCGAGAGAGAGCAAAAAAAAAAACACCGATCCGGATAGAATAGTCTATATAGCGGTTAACTGAACAGCTGCTCAAATATGTACATGCATGCGTGCGAGCGTCTGTGTGTGTGTGTGTGCGTGTGCCGTAATGCGCTCTGGGAACCGATCGATATCGGTCAATGTCGAACAACTACCGAGGTTATAGTAAAGGTCTACGAATAGCTCTTGAGCTTGATTACATTTCTACAGAGAGACTGTTGAAAGGTTTCCCACAGACAATACACATGCATACATGCATATGTATGTACCCGTCTATACATGCATACATGTGCATGAGCATGTGTGCTAGATGGATGCATGTATGCATGCATTTACACATGTACACATGCATGCATGTACATTTCTAATAGATAGATAGATAACAATCGCACTATCAGAGCTTGCAACTGGATTGTCGGGCTTTTCCACAGAGATTTCACGAATGTTTCTAGAACTTGTGCTTAGCCATAAAAGATTTCATAGCTAATTAGATAGTCAATAAACCTTTTGTAAATAAGTACCTCTCTGTGTGTGTACATACATACATACGTACATACATA